AAGCTTTTGACTAGCTCTTTGTGTTGACTTCTTGTGCACCATTTTCACGTTGTTGTCTGACGCAGATGGTCGGCCTTGTCCCAGATTGCTGAATAACGCGTTGTGTTTGTGAATTATTAATGCCACCCATGTAACGAGGGGCACACCGGTGGGGAGCTGTTTCTCAAAACTTGTTTGGAAATGATATCTCACATTTGTCGCTGAATGCATTTCTTCATATGCGGAAGAGGGCATTCCCGCTGTAATTTGCTATTACTGATTCGTGTGATCACCGCGTTTCTAGAGGAAGAAGACCTGTAAACTTGCAGCTGTGTGGTGGAGAACTTGAATATAAGGCCACTGCTGTAGTGCAGTTTATTTTCCAGTTTTTGCCCAGTGAAATTCTCAGAAACTTTGTTTTGCCAGTTGGCACACATTTTGACTTTTCAGAATGTTCAGTTTTGTAGAATTTTTTAGTCGACATTGACATATTTACTTGGTGAAAATTAGTCTTATTTATTTTCATATTCAAGTTTTCATTGTGTGTGTGTGTAGCGTGCGTGCGGATGATGGCAAATGTGTAGCAGATTCTAGTCTTAAAACTTGTAGGGGAAGGGCCGCTAGAAACCTATGCATGGATGGGAGGATAATATTTAAACAGATCTCAGAGGAGTAGAGGGTGTGGACTGAGTTCATCTGGCTCAGGATAGCGTGCAGTTTGCGTAAAGGACTGGGAATTTCTTTACTAGCCGAGTGAGTGTTGGCTTCTCAAGGAAGACCCTGCTCCTTGGAGCTGTTCTGTATAAGAAGTAGTTGACATTATTTTTATTACACGTAGTTTGTATAATTTTCTCCTTAGGGCTACAGTGTGGCTTTTCTTTGATTTCAGACTGAATTTTAGCAGTTACATGTTCGATGTGTTGGATGTGTAGAACTGTGTCATTTTGGGTAAGTACGCTGGTTATTTCAGTGCGGGGTGATGCTAATTTTTAATTCTGTACTGCAGTTTGATTTTATGTAGGGAAGGGATTTTCTCCTTGTTATCACTTGCCCTGCTGGTCACATGTGTGCTTGGACACTGGGACCGTGGGTTTGAATCCCACCCGAGGCATTGATGTGTGTCCGCATCTTTCTGTGCCGTGTGTTGTCCTATGTAAGGGCAGAGGCCTTGCGACAGGCTGACTGCTTGTCCAAGGAGTCCTACCAATTGTTAAGAAACCTCCCTAACGAGGCAGCCGCGCTTCATGTAGGAGCAAAACGGATATATAAGTAAAAATCACCGGTCCTTGGTGGGAATTTGACTGCTGATCTCCATCTAGTCAAGCTTTTGACTAGCTCTTTGTGTTGACTTCTTGTGCACCATTTTCACGTTGTTGTCTGACGCAGATGGTCGGCCTTGTCCCAGATTGCTGAATAACGCGTTGTGTTTGTGAATTATTAATGCCACCCATGTAACGAGGGGCACACCGGTGGGGAGCTGTTTCTCAAAACTTGTTTGGAAATGATATCTCACATTTGTCGCTGAATGCATTTCTTCATATGCGGAAGAGGGCATTCCCGCTGTAATTTGCTATTACTGATTCGTGTGATCACCGCGTTTCTAGAGGAAGAAGACCTGTAAACTTGCAGCTGTGTGGTGGAGAACTTGAATATAAGGCCACTGCTGTAGTGCAGTTTATTTTCCAGTTTTTGCCCAGTGAAATTCTCAGAAACTTTGTTTTGCCAGTTGGCACACATTTTGACTTTTCAGAATGTTCAGTTTTGTAGAATTTTTTAGTCGACATTGACATATTTACTTGGTGAAAATTAGTCTTATTTATTTTCATATTCAAGTTTTCATTGTGTGTGTGTGTAGCGTGCGTGCGGATGATGGCAAATGTGTAGCAGATTCTAGTCTTAAAACTTGTAGGGGAAGGGCCGCTAGAAACCTATGCATGGATGGGAGGATAATATTTAAACAGATCTCAGAGGAGTAGAGGGTGTGGACTGAGTTCATCTGGCTCAGGATAGCGTGCAGTTTGCGTAAAGGACTGGGAATTTCTTTACTAGCCGAGTGAGTGTTGGCTTCTCAAGGAAGACCCTGCTCCTTGGAGCTGTTCTGTATAAGAAGTAGTTGACATTATTTTTATTACACGTAGTTTGTATAATTTTCTCCTTAGGGCTACAGTGTGGCTTTTCTTTGATTTCAGACTGAATTTTAGCAGTTACATGTTCGATGTGTTGGATGTGTAGAACTGTGTCATTTTGGGTAAGTACGCTGGTTATTTCAGTGCGGGGTGATGCTAATTTTTAATTCTGTACTGCAGTTTGATTTTATGTAGGGAAGGGATTTTCTCCTTGTTATCACTTGCCCTGCTGGTCACATGTGTGCTTGGACACTGGGACCGTGGGTTTGAATCCCACCCGAGGCATTGATGTGTGTCCGCATCTTTCTGTGCCGTGTGTTGTCCTATGTAAGGGCAGAGGCCTTGCGACAGGCTGACTGCTTGTCCAAGGAGTCCTACCAATTGTTAAGAAACCTCCCTAACGAGGCAGCCGCGCTTCATGTAGGAGCAAAACGGATATATAAGTAAAAATCACCGGTCCTTGGTGGGAATTTGACTGCTGATCTCCATCTAGTGGCCAAATACAAATGTGTGTTTACTTTGTTCTTTGACACAGGTACAGTACACCATAATCTTATCACCATAAGAATGTGGGATGAGTCATGTCATCTAAATTATGTCATTTATGTGGTGTAAATTACATCATTGGTGCAGCATAATTACCCTTGTGACAAGCAGGAACAGCTTCTAGTGATGTGCAAGGGATATTAATTACCTGCACTTTTTGTTTATAAAGTCTCCAACGTCTGTGTTTACAAATAATTGACTGAAGGTGAAAATAAATAAATAATACCATCAGTGGTGATGTTATGTAAGTCTGATGTAATTGCTAGATTCTAAATTATGTCTTATCAGTACTCTGTTTACAAGAAGGTTGGATACTATGTAGTGTTGTCACGTGGTATCAGAGTGTTCCAAAATAAATAACCCTGTCCAATCATAGACAGAGATAGAACATTAATGGGCTGATTTAATGATTGCTGTACTGCATTTCTGTTACATTCTGTTTCAGTCTTGTTAAATTTTATTAATAATATTTTTCTATTCAGTTTCTGTTGCCCCCTCTTAGTAATGGCGTATCTTTTATGTGTGGTGTTATGATGTTAGGATTAATTTCCAAACACTTAAAATAAGCGCGTTTATTGCCTACAATTATGAGGTTTTTTCCCCTGTTCACTTGTGCTTTCCTTCTAAAGCCTGTAGAATGTTTTGTGACGTGGCTTCCATCACAGAGATTTGAGAATGTCTGCTGCAGTAGGGAGGTGCATCCTGTGAAGTAAGAAACATTGACCACTTTCTTCTCTTATCGCATTTGAAACTGAGAGGTATTTCATTCCTGGAGGAGAGTGGTGTATGCAGTCACAGCAGTCTTCTGACATTGTGCCACTTAAGGTGTACTCTCATCGTGATATATTGAGTCTCTGTTGTTTGTTTGGTTCATTTTGTTAGGTTAGGTAACGTTTTGAAAATTTTTGTGACCTTTCGACACTTATGGCTACAATTCGTCACGCTTTGTCAAGTTTTGTAAATAATCGTCACGTTTCGATACTTCTGACCACATCTTATCACGCCGTTACAGTATGTCACGCCTAGTCACGCAAATTCACGATTGGTCACTTTTTGTCACGCTTTGTAAATCTTCGTCACTTTTCGAGACTTATGGTGATTTCTGTTCAGGACGTCACGCCTAAACTCGTTGTGCCACGCTTTGGCACGCGTGTTCACTAAGTCACGTTTCACACGCTTACGTTATGTTACGTAAGGCTCGGTTAATTTTTGGTAATTTTCAGTACTTCAGATGAAGTTACGAAAGGTTGGGTTAGGTTAGTTTTTTAGATTAGGTAACGTTCTGAAAATAATCTTAAGGTTTTGCATATCGTGTAGTGTGTTGGATTATTAAAATAAGCATACAGACAGTTTACACTATAAATGCCACTAGTGCCAAACGCGTTTCGACCTCAAGAGGTCATCATCAGTGACAAAAACGGAATTAATTCATGCAATATGATCAGAAAAATGTGGTTTTAAACAGATCATGAAACCATGGTAAGTAACACTTCACTTTACCCATTAATAGGAGGGTGGGGGGAGCCCAGATCCTGTCTAAACGCAGAGGCTAGAGGAAACTCTGCCCCCGTCGGTGATCGAACTTCGGTCGTCCAGTCCGTAGTGAGTCATTAATTTGCAGTTTTTGGCAACGTTCATAATTTTAGTCAAAGTAATGTGGATTGGGAGACAAGTGTTTGCCATTATTAAGGAACTGTAAGCAGGGGTTACTTCTCAAAGTAACACCCGTCAGATGTCCTCCAAGATTCATGCACTCGGACCGTAACACCGTACATTATGCCGAGAAATGTTGCCAGTGGCCGTAGCATTAACTTTCTCATAAATTTGCTGCTTGGCAGTCGATGAACACTTCGGAGGACTGAGTTTGGGCATCGAATATTCGTCGGCCTCCCAGTTCGCCCGAACTGTCGCCTTGTGATTTATGTTTATGGGACTGCTTGAGAAGGAAAGTATTCGAAACACGTCCGACATACTTAAATGACAATAAAAAAATGTTTTTTTAATAAATTAGAGCCGTGTCACCGGCCATGTTTGCCTTCGTGTGCTCGCAGGCTTTTCGTCAACATTAAAAAAAGACTCACTAATTGCATGTATCGGAAGTCTAAAATTAGAAGACATGGGATGGCCCTCGACATTCTCGTTCGATTCTGCTAAAACCTTTCTTCTGTTGCAGGATTTGTTGTAAAATGCGACGGCGGCCCAGCGTTCGTCCTCTGGCTTCCACCTGGTGAGTCACAAATATGAATATGCGACTAATTTACGTGCTAGTCGATACAATTTTATGGAATTTCAAATACAAACTCATTTAATCAGCCATTTACTTTTGGACTGATTTTTTTATGACTGCCCGATAGTACGTCATGTTTTCTGCCTGTGTTGGCATTACCTAAAAATGGCCCAACAGACGTCTTTTTACTGGTACACTGCAGCTGTTGACGGAAATTAAGGTTTAGTGCAACAAGAGTTTAAATAACAATTTAGTGTTTAACTTTTTATATAAATAAAATAACTAGTAATATATATATATATATTACGTGAATTGCTTTTAAATTGGAAAATTTCCGGTATTAAAATAAATAAATAAAAATCAGGAATTACGTTGTTGCTGAGGCGAGGCGTCCGCCACGTTGCCCTCGCTGATTCCAAAACCTGCCAACAGGTGGCTCTATGCGGGGTCGGATCGACCGGGTTTAGTCACTGTGCTTACATTATTTAATATCGTCGTTGTCGTCTCTCGCACTTTATGTTAGGAAATAAAGCAACCGTGAAAATCGTTGTGTTGTGGGCACATCAAAGAACATTTTAGCAGTGGCCGTCGCATAAGCGAACTCGCCCTCACACCATTTCCGATCGGTTTACGTTTGTTTAAAAAAGAGTAACGGCAGATTCTAAACTCTGATTTATGCAACACCACGGATGACGTCAAATGTGTCTTCTCTGCGTTACCAGCAAACGCGCATCGAATGCGGATTTCATTTCGTTTTAGACTGTCCAGACGTGAATTGATCTTGCCCCTTGTCTCTGTCATTCGTGATCCTTGCGCCTGAATGTAGTTACGTTATTAGTAGCAAGTTTTAGTAGAACTCAGTATATTATGGCATTATTTAAATGCTCAATCTTCCGCCAGCTTTGCTTTAAATACATCTGAGGCACTGTTCACAATTTGCACCCATGCTTTTCGTACGCTCGAGTTGTTTAAGCTCGCAAGGGAGGATTCCCCACACTTGCTCGTTATTCGTTCATCGGTCGTCAGGAAATTGCCCAGTGATACGAAGCGACGTGTTCCAACCAATCTCGCCCTCCGCACTGTCAGATCTAAGAAATGTAACCGAGGAACCCTCTCCGAATATCAGCTTCATAAATAAGCCGCCTGCTGATGCCCAACGCAGACAAGTCAGAAATAAAGTAAACGTAACCCACGATGAAATTGATGATTAGCAGAGAAGTGACTCCGTCCCAGGAGAAACGAGGTCCTTGGTCAAGGCTCAGGGATTCTGGAAATCTAACCAATGACGTCAGGCCCTGAAACAACTCAGTCGTGTTTAAATAAGTAATTTGTGTTTCTTTAAAAACGACAATTCTTTTCTGGTTTTTTTTGCACGTATATATTGACAAAAGACAGATTCGAGCACGAAAACCCAAACTTAAAATGACACCGAACAACAAAGAACGGAAAAATGAAAGAACGACTTGCCTCGCCATCAAGGCATTCGTAATACAGGGTGTTTATAAATTATCATCACAACTTTACTCGTGAATAGAAAGACATAGACCCACTGTTTGAGCATTCATCTGCGAGAGAAACTCTCATCAAAGATTGTTCTGAACATTACACGCTCTCAGCATGGGCGCCATTTGTAACACGACGTTCAAGCTCCGTCCATGTTCGCTGCAGCATCAACGCCCTTCAGATCGTTTGTGTCGGCCACCCGAGTTCGGTGTAGGGGCTTAGGAAAAAATCACAGGGCGTGATGTCCGGCGATCTCATATCCAGGTAATTGCTGTAGCAAGTGGGTGTTCGCCTTCCCTGATACGTGGAATGTACGATTCGTTGTCTGCGTCCAGTTTCTCAGGCATTGTCACTGCGAATTCCTTACGGGGTGCCCAATCATCTGGAGACTCGTAAGCAAACAGAGACAAGCATTTTGGTGACAGCCGGCGTATTGTGGAATGCGGTAGGCATTTTCATCCCGTGTGCCGCAGTTCGTCTCGACTTAACGTGGACTGCGGACAAAGGTCCAGCGATCCTTTTGACATTTTCATCAGAGTCACGTGGACGCCCTGAACCTCAGTTGTAGAAAACACTTCCGGGCTCCTTAAACTCTACGTCGTTCTGAAACGCCTTTGGACCGGTGTATCCGATTTTGTTTCGATACATCGAAGGAGGAAATTCTCGCTCTCGGTGCGGGCTAATGGCGACTGACCTGATCCACACGGGTGCTACCATCTAACGGGAACTCGGTAAAAATTTCAGAGTTTCTCTCGGAAATGGCGCCCAAACGGTGTATGTGTGTCGTTTCATAAAGGTTTTAAGAACCTGTAAATATAATTTATATCGCATGAGCGTAAATTGGCTCGACTGTGCAGCAAAAACCAAGCGCTGGAAATGTGAAAGAAAGTTCGAAACCCTAAGCGATGTAAGCATCTGTCCGCGTTCTGTGCGTTCCACTGGCTAGAATGATTCATGCTGGATTTCTGCCAAGGAGAGAGACCAGTTTCCTCCAAATTTTAAGAAAAGCGTGAGTTAGTCTTTACGACTTTTCCGAGCCGACGGAGAGGAAAGCGTGGCGAAAGCTTTACTTCGGTTGGTTGTCCGTGTTTCCTCGTAGAAGAGAAGATTACGTCTGCATTTTCGAATCCCGATGTCAAGAAACGTTTCTAACGCCCGTCGTGTCTTCGTTCAAAACCGAGAGCAACTGAAAATGGCTACGGAAATTTTCAGATTGTCCAATTGCTGTTTGTAAACGAACAAGACGTTCATTAAATGACAGTTCCACATGAGAGTCGACAGAGTAATCACAAAATTCAGTGTAGAAGGGTGATTCGTCATTGTTCAGCTTTACGATCTTTCCACGATCCGTTCGGTCTGCAGTGTGAGCGAGCAACGTCTTGTATGCCTCCCCCCCCCCCTCCAACAACGATGGGTCCGGGGGCATTTATCTTCTTTGATTTTGTTATTCTTTCTCGTATTATTATTCCATTTTACAGGGCATTTATTTCCATGTACCTGAGACAAATCTTGCCCCTGAGGTACGTAATGAGATAAAGTTTCACATGCATTAAACAGATTTCGCGTGAGGCATTTTTATATATTTTACGTGAGAGTCTTTCGAATGATGATCCTAGAATGGCGGTTTTCTGAAGTTCTCTGATGTCGTGTTCGCCCGGGATGTTGGCCAAATATCTTTTGAGTGACAGTTTCAGTTGCTCCTGTAATTGTTGTTGTTGTTGTTTCTCGGCACCTCCTTTTCGGAGGTTTCTTTCACAATTTCTGCTCAGTCCTGATTTGACTGCCAGAGCCATCTAGCAGTTAATCAGGAAATGGCCTCTGACTTTACTTCCCCTCCGAAGGAAGTTTGTGCTACGGACTTTTATCTCCCTTAAAAGTCCATCGACCTCGGCCGGGATTGAACCCGCGGTCCAGTGGTGAGGACGCTAACCACTAGTCCACCGAGGGCGACTGCTCCTATAATTATTGATTGGAATTACTTTTGCCTTGTCCGGGGGCGACGTACTCATATAACAGCCATGCATTTGTGGAATGCCGTTGTTTGTTGTAGGTGAACAACAGGCAGATTCGCGTGGTCGGAATTACGTCACTGTAATTAAACGTGTACATGAAAAATCAAATTTGGAATCAGCGTATCAGAACTAATGCAGCAAAAGTCTCGTGTCTGACCGTCTCCTTTCCAGCGCAAGTGTTGAGTTTCTTGCGAACACCCGCGTTCATTACCACTGCAATCGGCAGTTCTGATGCCAACATTTTGCGTGAGGCGACGAGCCTTCGTAGATCTTAGGATTTATTATGTGAGTGAGTACGATCACTAAATTGAAATTATTAAAATACTCAGTATTATGGACTGTCGTTAGGTTGATAATGGAGGCAGCAAGTTCCCCCGACCACAGCCATCTCCTTGCAGTTCATTGGTCACGTGACGTAGCCGCTAACCCAGCATCCTTTCTCTCGTGCTGTCTTCGCTATTGTGCGTGTCTGTACGCGCTTTTGTGTTATTTTTAGATTCCTGTAGGTCTAACTGTGGCCCAATTCAACAGGAAAATAACATTACGAAGCTTCAAGTGGTAGACTCACACGAAGGTGAAGTAGATTTTAGGCCTTGGCCTTACGCACTCTGATGTTCAGTTATCCGGCGCAGTCGTGCAACAGTGTATTTGCCCCTTCCAACCCCCGGTATGCAGTAACGGTCTGTTCTTCGCTGTGCTAGTTCCCAGCAAACTGCCTCGTTACGACGTCGTCCTGGTCCTCTCGAGGTAAGTCTCTGTAATCGCTGTTGCT